AAGGTAAAATAAGATTCTAGAATTATATTCTAGATACAGAGAGGTCAAAGGCAAGATTGTACAATCTAATCAGTAGTAAAAAAGCTGGACTCTTGAATCTTGTCATTAGCCAAAGATTAGACGACAGAATCTCATCAGTGGTAGAAGGCTGGACTGAAGAATCTCGTCAGTAGGACTCTTGAATCTTGTCAGATTGATTAGTTTATGCACTGCTGGCGACTTCCACCATCTCTGATGCTACCAGTCTGAAAAATCGACTCTCACTGACTGGCGGTTCATTGTCAGCTAACTAAATGACCTGACAGACAAACTCGGCCCAGCTTACTTTGATCGGGATTTATCTGCGGCAGCTCTAACTCAATTTGAAAATCAGAATCTCCATAGAAGATGATTTAAAATTGAACTGTTGTTTTAGAATAACTTCACTTTCGCTAGCTGGATCTACTAAACTGACCGAGCTGCTCAATGCTGATAATTGTTCAAATAATACATTTAATTTTCTTCTAATGGTATTTTCTCAAAAAGCTTTTTCGCTTTGATCTGACTGCACATCTCCTGAAAACTGTATTCAGTCTTCCTTCAAAATAATTTTTTTTTAATGTGTAAGCTGAGTTTTGGCCAATAGAGTACAAACAATCTGTAAAAATGTTTTGGAGCCGTCAAACGCCTGGAACTTTAAAAGTTAAATGAAGCATCTTATTATCACATTGCTTAATGCAAAGTTAAGTTGGTGTGTTTCAGTGCAGCTGACTGTGATGAGGCTATAGTACTCTGTAATCCCATTAACACTGAGTTACTGATGAGCTAACAGCATTACACCACTTAGCTCTGACCGTGTGTGTGTGTGTGTTTTTTTGTGTGTGTGTGTGTGAGGGGAATTTTTAGCGAGCTGCTGGCATAGCCGACCCTCCCCCTTCCTCCATCCTCTCTCTCTCTGCAGTCATGACTCACTAGCAGCTTGTGTGTTTTCATGCTAAGCTAACCTTGGCTAACACAACAGAACAGTGTTTGACTAGGAGCGGTAGCAGGCCTTCGCTAACCCACGTTGATTCACTCGGGCTTGCGTCATTCATCAGGCTGGCGTCATTCAACCTGTCGTGCGTCTCATACGTCATCAGCGGTGATGTGAGCTGCATGTGAAGCAGCCTCACTCTGAGAGCTGGTGGTGTGCACCTGTTTGTGTGTCATTGTGAGGACCAGTGGAGGTTTTAGATATTATGAGGACATTTGTGAAAAATGTGGACGGTTTTGGATAATGAAGATATTTGTCAGCACAGTGGACAGTTTTAGAAAGTGAGGGCATCTTTGGAAAAGGCCTTACATCAAAGGCCTTGTTGGATAGTGATAGATATTTTTTAATAGTGGGGATCAAGTTTAAGCTATTGTGAGCTTTTTTTTTCCGATTATTGTGAGGACATTGGTGAAAATTGGACAAATCTTGTAGACATGTAGTTTTAGATACTGCGAGGACATTTGTCAACATTGTGAACAGCTTTTAAAAGTACAGACATTTTTAGGGAATGATGGATACTGTGACTTTGTTTTCTGGAGGACATTTGTGTGGACATCTGTGGATATACAGTTTTAAATATGTAAGCTCAACACTTAGTTGAGCTGTTTGAGGGTTCAAACCTATTTTTAGGCTATAGATTAGAATACTAGCAATGCATGGTGTAAGCCAGGGTCCTCACAGTGATAGAATAACACATATGTGTGTGTTTACGAAGCATACGGGCATTATTCTTTGAATGGACACAATGATTACAGCTTTTTAACGATCTAGAGCATTATTATTATCATTTAAAGATGACCTCAACTTAAATATTTGTTGTTTTAATGAGCAGGTATTCAATCAGGCTAAATCCACAATTGCATTTTTATGATTTTTCTTTTATAATGAAGGTTTTAATGTTGAAATATAATGACCTGAGGTGTGTTTATTCAAGCAGGGTTTTCTCATGTTTGTCTCACAGCTGTACAGGCAGGTTACATTTTAAGTGACATGACCTGGAATGATGTAACTGTAGCAGCTGAGCACGGTGCAGTCAGCCCAGGTTAATTCCTCACTACCTCACATTACCTTCTCCTGTTCTGGCTTATAGCAAGCTCTACCGTAAAAACCGAATCAGTGGCCGTGCTTTGCTTTAAAAGATGGCTGGTCTGGTTAAAAGACTTGCACACCCTGGACAGAACAGTTGATCAAGGTCGTACAGTTAGGTGGCACTTCAGATCTCTTCATAGAGAGATGGCAAACTGAAAGAGTTTACTATGAACTTGAATGTTCAATATTTACTAATATTTTTTGTTTTATGAAGACGATTGAAGGATTGACAGGTGGAGAATCTGAAATCAATATGTTTTTGTGCAAAACAGCTAGACAACGCGACTTGTTTATTTAACTTAAACAACAAAACTGTTAAAATCCAAGATTAAGGATTAAGATTTAATCTTCATGAAATTTAAAGAAGTCCAGTCATTTTCTTTCCAAGCTCCTTAGACAACCATGACCCGGATGACTGAGAACCTTCACACACGTCTTTTTTTGTTTTTTCTTTTCCAGAATTCTAAAATTAAAGTCAGAATTCTGGGGGGAAAAAAAAGACATGTCCACCTTTCCATTTCCAATGAGGATCAATGATCTGAGGAAAATCTCGTGGACAGTCAGTGGTGCTGACAGTTTAAATGTCATTAAGTCAAATATTTGCAAAGGTTTGAGGGACAACATAAAACCTCATTATGTCTTGAAAAGAACCAGAGGCCAAAAACTGAAGGGTAGCATTAAGTTTTGGTCCCGTTGCTCTTGCACGACCTCTTTCTAGTTGGAAGTTTTGTGTTTTCTTTATTTTACTAAACAAATTAAGAACAACATTCAATCTGCTCTGATAAGGCTTCCCTCTAACGTTCCTGTAAATGAACACAACCCAGTGTTTTCTCCACACACTCTGTTCTCAGTCGCTGCTCTTCTTATCAGAAACTACTGCAGGCACATCAAGCCCAAACTTTGTTTTCATCTTAAATAATGGTCCAATTAGCAGTAAACAGACTACTGAAAGATGTAGTAAATCACATTAGGCTTATTCATTTAACGACTTTCACCAAGTGATTTCTCTGAAGGGAAAACTGCTATAAATAAATAATCAATAACCATAGCTTTCCCTCACTGCTCTTTACTGTGCATCTTTATTATTTCACTCTGCAAGTAAAGTCAAAGGAAGATCAATATTTAAATCTCCCACACTTCCATGCACGTTGATTACATCAGATGCAACATAACAGGTGTAGCTGGGGTGAAAGTGGGTTGCAAAGAAGCTTGCAGCTGTGCCTGATCTAGCTAAATCAGCTTAAGGTGCACGTGCTACTCGAGCTACCTTTGCACAGTACTAAAAACTCCACATAAAACTGATCTTGTGACTCGCAGGGAGTTTATTTTACCCTCCTCTTTGTTTAAAACTTTAACCACATGTATATTGAACACTGTTATGACAGGAAAAACATCTGAATAATGTTTAATGTTGTGGGTTCAATTTCATGTGAAAAATAATGGAAAAACTTAATGTTGTGGCTGCCATCAGAGTGCTGCTGTGGGAGAAACCATCTACACTGGTTGTAAACATTATAAAGTACCACTGAGCTGTTCCCTTAACATTGCAGTTATGATATGATGATAGTGGCCACCCCTCTTTCTCCTTGTGTAAGAGCTGAGAGCGTAATGGCAGCCGCTGTTATGTAACTGCTGGCACACAGCACCCCCCCTCTGCCCCCTGCTCTCTCTCTCACCCCTCCAGTGTCATGCCAGTTTGATTCCATTCATACCAGTTCCTGGTGGCAGTGTGACCCAGTTACCCCTTGGTGTTTGTGTATGTGTATATATATATTTGTGTGTGTGTGGATCCACCATCACGCCAATTAAAATACCAAAGTCGGAGCGAGAGAGTGAAGAGGAAGCATAATTGTTCATTCATGTCTCTTGCTGCAGTTCAGAGTGAAGGAGAGGAAACTCATTCATTCACTGTTTCTTTAGATCCATCAATAATTCATCACTGCCAAAGCATTAAAATGTAATTCTAACATGTACGGTTCATGTTACACTTCATTCAGTCACATTAAAACATCATACAGGAGCCGATTTCTGCTCAAAAGAAAACAAATGAAAGATTGATTCGTTAAAATGTTTGAGAAGCAAAATAATTTTGTTTGATTTTATGATTATAGACATCATGCAGCTGAGCCTAACATGCAGAAATGAAGATTTATTGATTGATTCAAAATAACTTTAAAGAAGATTATTGCCTTTTTTGTTAAAACATTAACATTTGGAGAATCTCAAGTAGAAACAAATTATTTATGACTGAATAGTCATAGTCTTTATTTTAGGTCAGAAACTTGTAAAATAATCAAACAAGATAGTTTATCTATCTCAACAGCTCTAAACACAAGTTATAAAAAACTAAAGCGAATTAGAATATCTCAGTTAAATAAAATCCAATGCGACAAAATCAAAAGGTTAAATATGTTTAAAATTCCATAAAAGAAAGTCCAATTAAGCAGAAAGCAATAATTTAATAAAGCAGCTCCAGAAATAAAAATATAAATATAGAAGGGAAAAGGTGATTATGACAAAACCGAACGGCTCTATGGAATAAAATGGCTCAATAAAGCAAACATCACAAAAGTCTTTGAGTTATTGAAAAAATCATCCACTGTGCAGATGTAACGCAGGCTGAAACTGTGTGTGAGGCTGTAAACATGCTTCCACTGTGAGGGTTTCAAGAAGACTCGTACTGACCCATTCAGGTGGCCGTTAGACGAACTGCAGGTTTTTGCTGAAATTTCATGAACAGGAAAACTGAAACTATATAATAAGCAGCGCATCTACATGCTGTGAGAAAACTCTTGATTTTGAAGAAGATTTTCTTGTGCAACAGTAACAGAACGGTTAGAGTTTTCAGATGTCTGAACGTCCCTGAACACGTCATCACCGATGACTCTGTCTCTCACAGGTGTGTTTCTGATCCCCTACCTGCTGATCGTGTTCGTTGGAGGAATCCCCATCTTCTTCCTAGAGATCTCTCTCGGTCAGTTCATGAAAGCGGGAAGCATCAACGTCTGGAACATCGCGCCGCTGTTTAAAGGTGCAGTACGCCACAAAGTGGGACTTTACATTTACCAAAACAAAACACTTTAGTAGGACTTTAACTACTTTAAAAAAAAAACATTTAAGTGAAATTTTATAATTCCACCTCTGCAGCGTAGCCTTTGGAATATTTGGCCCATTAATCTGATCATGGGAAGTTTTCTTGCTGTGTATCTGTGTGTGTGTGTGTGTGTGTGTGTGTGTGTGTGTGTGTGTGTGTGTGTGTGTGTGTGTTTTTTTTATTTTTATTTTTTTTATTACCATTATAAGATTTGATCAGATTATAAATTCCACTGCTCATCACTGCATTGTCATGCTTTTCAGTGAATAATAATGAGATATGCAGCTGCAGAAGCCTTAAAATCCAAACGAAGGAGATGAGTTGGACCTAAATTTACAGAAATGTTTGAAAACCAGAATGTCTGTCATAGATCAAAGGACAGAGCATAAATACAGTCATGGTTCGATTGTTCACAATCACAAGCATCTCATAAGTTTTCCTTCCCTGTTTTTAATTTCTGAAGATTTCGTTATTCCTAAAATCCCCCACTGGGAAAAAAAAGTCCTGGGTGTGCCGCTGCAGACTCTGTTGGCTTCAAGTGCAAACCTGTCGTCAGGCTTTACAAACAGACCAAAGATATTTAAGAATTTTACATTCAAAGACTGAATAAAGGCACCGTGTCGTCAGATTTAGGTCAGTAGAAATGTTGTTGGCCGATCCTTATGAGCGGGTGAGCGCACATTCAGCTTTCTGTGGAGGTTTATCTGCAGGTGGTAATCTGAGATCTGCTGTACGTGACTCCACACCCGTATGGAAAACTGCACGTACGCGCGCGCACACACACACACAGACTGTGCATTTGTGAATGTGCTCGTTTCCTTTAACTAAACTTGACCTTCAACTTAACCTTGACCATAAATATCTCTTTACCATAAAATGTTATCATTTACATCATGATGTCCTCATAATGTGACTATTTAACTATATTTATGGCCCCACAACACGAGTATTACACACACACACACACACACACACACACACACACACACACACACACACACACA